GGCACTATTAGAGATTGTTTTGGAGATATTCCTCTGACAGGAACTTCTCAGGAGCTTCCATTTTTCGGTATTGAGATGGAAGAGGCCAAGGCATGTATTTTCGCTCTCCAACAAGCTCCGGCTGCTGGCTTATCTTATGCGGTTACTGAGGGCGATTGTGCTATGTTGACTTCAAGGCTTAGGGACAAGGAGAACCTTCAAAACTCTTTAGGTCTATTCATTTCTTGCATTTTTTCCATTGCCAATGGAGCTAAAAAGTCATTATTGACACTTTTTTTTAGATGTGGTCACATAATGGACTAAATCAAAATGACACGTTATCTTTTGCCTCTTACTATATATTATGAGGTTTTGGGAAGTTAATGTAGCAATGCTTGCAGGGTCTATCGGGATTAACCTCTATGTTTATCACGAGTAAGACTTGTAATTTTAGACCTTAGCTCACTATAAGCCTATTATTTGTGATGCAATAGTGTATTAGTGTGAGAGCTCCTACTTAATGCCCCTAAGCACTATTTGGAGTCTCTAATGCTAAATGGGGGCATTCATTTATCCAACCCGAAGCGAATCAATAATTTCCCCTAAAAGATTGTTACAATTTGACTTTTTTTGTCAAACTGTGACACTCTTTGACTGCGAATTATAGAAAAAGTATATTTATTACAATGTAAATTTAGTAAAATTGAGTTTATTTTAAAATATAGGTTTGAAATATCAAATCTTTTTAATATTTAATTGCTTTAAACTTTATTTAAATCGTGGTCAGGGTGACACAGTTTGACTTTCGTCAAACTATGACAATCTTTTAGGGACGAAATGAGTAGTATGGTAAGGAGTAAAGACCCGCAGTGTGCAAATGGGAATGAAGTTGTAATAGAATTACCTCATCAAAGTCTCTTGGATTTGGAGTAACTAGATTCTAACTCGTGCAATGCACGGCGAAAAATATATTTTGTGGAGAAACAATATGACACATAAAAACAATGCATAATTACAAATACGACAATTAGTTAACTATCCAATGTATACTAAAGTTTGTTATAATGTAGCATATGTAGCAATAAATATTGGACGATATCATTTAAGTACATATATAATCATAAATTCTGGAAAACTTCTTTATACACAACATTCATCGTATGATCCAGAGGATTATTTTCTTCGTCGCAACTCAAGATTTTCAATCCTTGTCGATTTGTGACACGTGAAACAGCCACATGAAGTTGACCATGAGTAAAGACTGATTTTTTAAGTAGTACACCAACATGTGAGAGAGATTGCCCATGACTTTTGTTAATAGTCATTGCATACAAAGTCATGACGGGAAATTGTTTCTTCTGAAACTTGAATTGAATCCTCTTATCCGAAGGGGTTAATGACAGCCTAGGGATTACAACTTCATGACCAACATTTTTTCCCGTCATCAATTTCCCTTGGATCAAGTGATTTCCCAATCTTGTCACAATTAGTCTTGTTCCATTGCACAAACCCATGGATTTGTCGATATTTCTGAGCAGCATTATTGGGGTACCAACCTTCAAAGTAAGCTCGTGGTTTGGAACTCCAGAAGCTCGAATATTATTCAAAAACTCGGGTGAATGCAAATCAGCCAGTAAATCCACATTGGAGTCTGACTCCAAAGTTAAAATCAACTTGTGTGGTGCAATTGAAGGGAGTGAGGGTGTGTTCGGGTCGGGGCCGGATGGGGGGTTTACCGGGAAGTTTAGGGGGGAACTGTCAATTTTACGATCGGGGCACCGGAGCACCCCCGGGTCATCCCATGACATTGCCCTCCAATGTCACTTGAACCTTGGTGCATTTGTTTACGGCAGGTAATCGATTCTAGACATCTTATAAAAAGGAAAGATAGACAACTAAATTCAGAAAGGAGTGTAAAAAAATATAGTTTAAGGCTCTGGTGAAAATCTAACATGAAGAAAAATAAAGATACCCAGTAGAAATTAGAAAGAAGAAGAAACTTAAGATGGATAAAAATGAAAATAAAGAAGAAACTCAAGTTTTTTTTTGCTTTGGCAATATTTAGGCTGTAATTACAACTCCGTGTATAGTTAGTAAGACAATAATGGTGTTAACTAAAAAAGAAAAAAAAATGTCAATATTTATATGTATTTTGCAGTGCTTGACAAAGCAACACCCAAAAATGATTGGACCATGCTACACTTACACCAAAAAATATACCTCATTTGTACATCACAGGCTTGCACAAACATTTCGATGGTTTTCACCGACACAAGTGTTGGTGCGTTAATAAATATTCACACGGACACAAATGTTGGTGCGTTTAACAAAAATTAGTTTTACACCAACACAAAGTGTTGGTGCAAAACTGCGGGGTACAAATTGGGCTACAAACCTTGGGGTACACATAGCATAATCCAAAATGATTCTCAAAAATTTCAGCCACACAATCCCTAGGTTCAGGTGCATGTACAGTACAGTGACCCAATTGGATCCACTATAGATGCCTAATGTTGGATCCCCTCCCCCCCCCCCCCCAAATAAAATAAAAAATTATCTTGGGGTCCAAGAGCAATTATGCTCTTTAATTGTAGTCCTTTCACAATATACCCATTTATTAGCTGGCCACACACACTCTCACTAATCCCAGTTTAATCTCCCCAAATGATTTTCATTATTAGCAGCACAAGGTACAATTGTCTAGGTACTTGGTAAGCACATGCACTTGTGATGGAAGCAGTTGATTAAGATTGAAGTTCCTTTGGTGATTAGGGGGAGAGATTATATTGGAGTGGGGGGGGCCTATAATTAAATTGGCAGAATTTATTCCTAATTTGGGAGCTGATGGGGGGTTGAATGTTTGATGGGAGGTACAGAGGGAAAAAGGGGAGGGCATTAGTCCTAGAAAGAAAGGGACATGGCCTACATGTGAAGACAGTTTAGAGACAAAGTTAAAGAAAGTTAGGGCGTGGAGGACCTTGCACATGGCTTGCCATGATCCCTTCTCCCTCCTCCTCATCTATCCCCACACCTCAATCATCCACCATTTGCTATCATGCACTAAAACTAATACTCTCCCCATCTCTTTCAACAAAAAACTTGTTATACGTAGTAATTAACAAAACAGGATGAGCCCCATCCCCGAAGGCCCCCTTAGACCCGGCCGGACGGTTACTGAGACAAGTTAAATTGAACTTTAATTGCAGATTGGTGACAAGGAGTGGGACCTACATCTGATACTTGCTAAGGCCTTATGTTTAGCATAGTTGCCTCCCAATTGCCAAGATTTAAACTCGGGTCTTACCCCCTTGGCACCTCTTGCCTAGCCAACTGCGCAACGCCCACCGGCACTTGTTATGATTAACGTTTTCGTATGTTAGATAATAAAATCTTTCCTGTAGATATAACCATATCTTATACTCCCCCGTCCCATAAAACCTTTCTCCTTTCTTTTTCATCCGTCCCATAAAACACTTCTCATTTCTATTAAAAAGTCACTTTTACCCCTTACTTTTTCATACCCTACCTATCACATCATACCTTTTTACTAATAATCTACCTATTAAATCCTACTTTTACCCATCACATCAAAGGACACTTTTGGAAATTCAATACCAAAATACACTCCCTTAAATCCCTTTCAAAAAGCAAAACATCTCATGTTTCATGGGACGGAGGGAGTATAATGTAATGTACTATTATTGTCAAACAAAATACTACTTCCGTCCATTAGTATGTGTTCAGTTTAGACTTCTTTTGATCAACTATTTTCAACCTTTGACCTATAATTAAACAAAATATATATTGTATATTAACTAGATAAAAAAATATTTTGAAAATATTTGATTGAATGAATCTAATAAAATTATTTTTGTATCAATATCTAATATTATTTTTATTTAATTTAGAGTCAAAGTTTACCAAATTTGATAGAAAAAGCCAGAAGTGGACAAATACTCAGAGACGGAGGGAGTAGATGTTTGACTATTATTATTTTAGCTTTTTTCTTTATGATAATTTGGTGGAGTGCTATTAGTAATTAAAAAATTGTTACTAATTTCATCTGCTTAATTTGCTCCCATTTCACCTAGAGATGATTGATAGTTCAAGTGATGGATCAACCAGGTTCAGCAGTGATTTATTGAACATTTTGGATGTTAATGATCTGATTTTATATGATTACTGTTCTCAGCTCGTCAATGATTAAGATGAACAGATTAACCAACAAATTGTACAGAACGTATGTGTGCATATACTATTCAAAAATCGTGAGAACAAATGTGTACATATAGTCTCTCTCTCTGTACAAAAAAAGAGAATGTCACAATTCAACATTCAAAAATCGTGAGAGTTTTTGTTTATTTGTATGATAAAATATGCTGTAATTTTATAACATTTTGCACAATGTGGCAAACATTTTGGGATGGAAGGAGTATTTTTTAAGTTTGGTTTTTTTTTTGGTTGGGTACATATTTTAAGGGTTAGATGGGGGAAATAATGGGGCAAATTAATTAATTGGAAGAGTGGACATGTTGTGAGGGTAGGAATTAGTTTAAGTTAAAGAATGGAACACATGATGGTAGGTGAAGCAAATGAAGGTATATAGTAACACTAGTAGTAGTTGCCCTCATCATCATCATTAATTCATTATCATGCCAAATAAAGAAAACATGTTTTCATTAATTGATGGCTGCATGTGATCACCCATTAATAAATCTTGCCCACCGTTAATTTCCCATTCTATATGCTTAATTAAACGGGTTGATATCATGTGTCACATTAAACATACATAAACATGGATTTCGTATCTAAATTAGGTTTAATTATATTCTTTTTTATACTTAGATTAAAAGTTAAGGTGTTACCAATGACAATTTGATTAAATAATATCTTTGTTTCAATATGTTTGTTCAGTTTGACTCTTTTAATCAAATTTGACAAACTTTGAGCTTCAATTGTTTTAATTTGTACTCCCTCCGTTCCATAAAATTCTTCCTCTTTTATTTTTCTTGAATTCCCTAAAACACTTCTACTTTTTATTTAAAAACCACTTTTACCCTTACTTTTCCATATCCTACCTATCATATCATACTTTTTCACTAATAACCAAACTATCACATCTTACTTTTACCCATCACATCAGGGGTAAAATTGGAAAATCAATAAAAATTACACTTTCCTTATTTTGGTCCAAAGTAAAAATAGAAAAGCGTTTAAAGGAACGGAGGGAGTATTATATATTACTACAATTAAATAAAATTTTGAAAGTTCTCAATAAGATAAATTTAATAAAATCATTTTTATATTTTTTCTGTCCTTGAGTATTTGACCACTTTTGATTGTTTTCGATCAAAATTAATAAGCTTTAACCTCAAATTAAATAAAAATAATATTAGATATTGATACGAGAATAGTTTTATTAAATTTATTATATTAAATATTTTTAAACTATTATTTTATCTAATTAATATACAATATATATTTTATTAAATTATATGTCAAATATTGAAAACAATTGATTGAAAAAAGTCAAAATTTGACAAATACTCAGGAACTGAGAGACTAATACACTTATAAATATTTTCAAAGTTCAACCTGTTTGACTCAGAAAAGTCAAACTAGACAAATTAGGATGGAGAGAGTAATACACATTGTCACTAAAATTCGATGGCATCTTATCACGTGGTTCTATGGTTTATGTTCGTTTTATGATTTTTGTGTATTGATATCTTTAAAAAAGGTAGATTTTTTTTAAAAAACTTCGCAACAAATGAAAGTGTAAGAAAATCCACAAATTGTATAGACTTTAGAACCCAAGAAAATTCTAAAACATATTGGCCGATCAGACGGTCCGCAACGGCATGTGCATGGCAGTGTTCGTTACAGTCGAATGTTCTCTTCTTCTTCCTCTTTTTTTTTTTCCTTTCTTTTTCAAAACTCAAATTTGGATGGGAAAATACTAAAATTACTGCGTGGGTACTTTTGTTATTGTTGCGGAATAAGTACTAACTTGTACTCCGTATATCTTAATTTTTTTATATGTATTTACTGTTTACTAATTTAAGGAAAGTTTAGTTTGTGATTGGCTTTCATATATATATATATATATATATATATATATTGCCTTACTTTTTATTTTTAGAATGAGAATATTCCATAATTGATAGATATTAGACCTGACAAAAATAACCTAAGTTGTTTTTAACTCGAAACTCGACCCGAAAATATCGGGTTTGAACAAAGATTTTGATGACCGAACCTGAAATGACCTCCTAAAAGTGGGTCAAACCCGAGCGACCCGAACCCGACCTGATTGACCTGCTAATGTAAGATTTTTTCAAAATTACGGAGTATATACTTTACCATGAAATTTATTGTTATAGAAATAAGGTTATAATTATATTTTTTTTCTTATTATTCGTTTTTAGTGTATAAATTTATATTTTCAAACAAAATTTTAATGATATTTCATAATTATCTTACTTTTTTCCAAAACTTATGCATTTCATTTATTCTTTTAATTGATTTATATATTTAAAAATTACTCCAAAATTTAAAATAAATTAATCTAGTAGATTTAATATATATATTTGATATTTTAAATTTATTCAATGCAAAGTGCAATTGTTAATATAAATTAAAAAGTTCAAAAAACCTAAGTCATAACTCGTTAGATCGATCCAAACCCGATGATACTGAATCATGAATATACAGTTCTTAATCCAAATCCGAATTAATCTGAATTCGAAGTAATCTGAATTCGAAGTGACTGAATACGTATAGTACTTGACCAGACCAATCGATTTGCTAGCTCATACAGAGATAAATAGGTTGTTTTAATTGAGAGAAGAAGTATTTTTTGGACCATTGAGGCATACATGAAAAGATACAAATATGCAACACCATGTACGTTGATTCCTTGAACGTGATTTCCTTCTAACATTGTGATAATGGGAACTAGGATTCCCGATTCCGGGTTAGAGATAGAAAAAAATGTAAAGAGCGAAAGTTCAAACATTGTTCTTACATTATTGATTATTTGATATAAAATATATATATTACCATTTATTTTATAAAATTTTTAATATAATTTTTAAATACTCCCTCCGTCCCGCTAAAAACTTCTCATTTTGACTTTTAAAAGATTTAAGGGGAGTGTATTTTGGTATTGACTTTCCAAACATGTCATTTGATGTGATGATTAGATTAATAGAGAAATAGTGTGATGTGATAGGTAAATTAAGAATTAATAGGGGTAAAAGTGATTTTTTTAATAGAGAAAGGGAAGAGTTTTTTGGGATGGGTAAAAAAAGAAAGGAGAAGAGTTTTGTGGGACGAAGGGAGTATGTATTTTGAGTTTTTATACAAAAAAATATGTAAAAAGCTCAATTTTAAAAGATATGAGATTTTTTTTGCATATTATTCAAAAAAAGACGATAGTTTAAAAATAGAGGTAACACTTACAAAGAGGCAATCACGCCCTTTCACACCTTTTCTTAATCCATTCAACTATAATTGGTGGGCGTTACACAGTCGGTAATGAATTTCCAAAAGATAATATCCAAAATTGTATTAAAAGATAATTATTTTTTTAAAATAGTGCTTATACAAATAACAAGTAGAAGTTTTATACTCCGTATTCTTTATGAGCGATCTATGATTAAAACCAAAGCAGGGAAGAGTGGAAACAATCACAAGTGACACGCGGTAACATTTGTACAAAATGTACAAGTGCACGTGGTCTCTCTGATTCCCCCCTCCCTTAATTAAAATATTGTTTAATAAATTGCTTTCCAGTTATGCAGTTTAATTGGGTCTCTCTCTCTCTCAACTTCTCTACGTACTACTACACCCACAGCTAGCTGTTGATAGCTGTCCCAATCTTCTTCTTCTTCTTCTTAGCTTCCCCACCCCACCATCCCTCCCGTCGGACCCCTACCCTATATAGATTGACTTTAAATTAAATCTAATCCTACTCTACTACACTACATCCTCCCCAGTAGTATATATTCATTTCTCGTACAACCTACGAAAAAACTTAGCACATTATTATGCTCTTCTAATGTTTTCCAGTTTTTTTCCCCGATTGATGATGATTTAATCCTCTGCATGCATGTCATAAGAAGCTTTTGAGGAATATAATCGGGTACGTAGTAGTACCTTAATATATTGCCTCTTATTCGTTCTATAAATATATCGATGGCGCAATTGCCCCCGCGGGCGCCGCCGAACTTGGCGGCCGCGCCCATCTGGCATGACTTTGCGCTGCAGAAGCCGTCGCCGGCGGCGGCGGCGACGGCTTCAGCAGCACCGTCGTGGGTGGACGAGTTCCTCGACTTCTCCTCCGCCAAGCGCGGGTCCCACAGGAGGTCGATCAGCGACTCCATAGCGTTCCTGGAGAGCCCGATGGCGGAGGAGTGCCGGAGGCTGTCCACCCCCGGCGGCGGCGGAAACGAGTTCGACCGGTTCGACGACGAGCAGCTCATGTCGATGTTCAACGACGATGTGGCGGCGGGGTTGACCAGCTCCAACACGTCGTCGCCGACGTCCGACCACAACAGCATCAACAATGACGGCGAGGACTGCAGTAATAATAGTTTCATAAAGTTGATGTCCGGCGGGTATGATCGCCGCCGGTGCCATATGACGGCGCCGCCGCCGCAGCAGCAGCTGAAGAGCGAGCCGGAGGAGGAGGAGAGCTCGTGGAAGTCCGAGGACCAAGCTGCGGATAATAACTCTTCTGAAAAGATTGTTGATCCTAAACGAATTAAGAGGTACATAATCAATTTAGGGACGGAGAAAGTAACACGAAAAGAATGAAAAGTTTAACGTTGAAAAATGTTTGATTATTTATTATTAGGATATTGGCGAACAGACAATCAGCCCAACGATCGAGGGTGAGGAAATTGCAGTACATTTCGGAGCTTGAACGTAGCGTTACCACCCTCCAAGTACGCAGTATATGATCATTACTGCTTCCGTCTCAAAAAAAAAAAGATACGTTTTATTTTTCTTGCGCATTTCAAAAAACACTTTTATCAAATCTAAAATGCCTAAAAATTACCACATTTACCCTTTATTGTGGGTAGAAGTCGTCTTGAAAGTCTTTTTAGCGTTTGAGAAGATGTAAAAGTGTTTTATACGATGCGCATAAAATGAAACGTAACCTATTTTTTGGGACGGATGGAGTATTATTTTGGATTATTATTATTAATGTGATGTTTTTTTTAATATAATGTTTTTTTAAAATGATGGAAAAACTTTAAAAAAAAAAAGGCAGAGGTATCGGTATTATCGCCGAGGGTGGCATATCTGGACCACCAAAGACTGGTACTGAACGTGGACAACAGTGTCCTCAAGCAAAGGATTGCTGCCCTTACTCAGGATAAACTCTTCAAAGATGGTCTCCCCTCTCTCTCTCTCTCTTCCTCACCTTTTTCTTTTTTTTTTAATTTAAAAACAAATGCTTATTAGATGAGTGTTGGAAAATTTGATTAGCTAGAGAAGAGAAAAGTGTGTTTAGGAATAACAATCATAATTAAATGTACTCGTAAAATGTATTTCGAACGTTTACTTAGATTGATGATTGGACCAAAGGATCGAAAATGAGAGAGATTTAACCAACTTTTTTTTCAAGGCTAAACTCTACCATTTGTCCTTCAACTTTATCACTTGTGGTCCTTCAAGTTTTTTTAAAGTCCATAAATAGTCTTTCAACTTTATGAGTTATGCACGATTGGTCCTCCAAGTTTTAAAAGTCCATAAGTAGTCCTTCAAGTACATGTCAGTCTTCTAGATGAGATCCTTTTGACAGTAAATGTTAAAAGCTAAATTTTATTTTTTATTTCTATACCAATATATAAATAAAATGAATTGAAAAAAAGTTGATATTTTACCTCAGGAATACAAATGTGACAAATATTTAGGAATGGAGGGAGTACCTAGCTACTTAGTTTTTCCATGAATTCATGTCCATGTGGACATGTGGTAGTCCCTGTATATGTCTTTAGTCACCTATGGTCATGTTTGGTTGTAGGGTGTGAATTGAATGACCAGTGGACCAATTACAAAAAAACTAGAGTAAAAGTTTGTCCCTCCGTCCCTAAATATTTGTAACGTTTGTTTTTTCAGCAGTCGCGAGAACTTTTTTTTATTTCTACATTTTCATTGGTTATTTGATAAAATAAAATATTCTTGACACATCTTATTTCGAAAAACTTTTCATGTAGTTTTTTTATATGTAAATTTTATTATTTATTTCTATACCAATATGTAAATAAAATGAATTGAAAAAACTTGATATTTTGCCTCGAGAATACAAGTGTGGCAAATATTTAGGGACGGAGGAAGTATATGCTATTGGGGAATCCGTCTTGCAAAATGTACGTTTTTCCTTTCTTTTTTCGTTTGTCCCAAAAGACCATTTTCATTTTTATTAAAAAATCAATTTTATTCATATTAATTATTAATTTACATATCATATCACACATTTTTACTATTAATCTACACCTCACATAATACTTTTATTTATCACATCTAATGACATTTTTGAAAAGTCAACACCGAAATACCCTCCTCACGTTTGTATTTTGTAACGATATTAATTACTGTGACTAAGAAAAATAATGTCAATAATTTGTTTTCGTTATAATTGTGGAGTATATTACAAGTAATTAATTATTTAATTAATGATTGGATATGTGTGTGTGTATGTGTGTGTGTGTGTCTATATATATATATATATATATATATATATATATATATATATATATGTATGTATGTATGTATGTATGTATGTATGCATGCATGTATATTAATATGAGGATACATGCATGTATATATGGGTGCAGCTCATCAAGACGCATTGAAAAGGGAGATAGAGAGGCTGAGGCAAGTTTATTACCAACAAAACCTAAAGATTAATACTAATATGGATGGTGATGATGTTGATGATCATGATGATGATGATGTTGATGATGGTAATGGTAATGGCACACAACCAACCCATCATGCTTCTTCTCCTCCTCAAAACAAAGAACAAGTTGCAGCCCATTGATTCACCACCCCATTCAATTCAAGGTATATTTCATACTTAATTCAATTCCAATACCTATTACTTCTTCCGTCCCGATGTATTTGTCCAGTTTGATATTAATAGTGTTTTTGTATTAATACCTAATATCATTTTTATTTAATTTGGAGTCAAACATTAATCATTTTGATAAAAAAAAGTCAAAAAAAAAATGAATGTACTGCGTTACCAAGTACCAACACATACCCCACCTCCCACTCTTATTAAGTTAAAATAAATAAATAAATAAATAAATAAAAATGGCACAAATAATGTAGACCGGCCCCTCCATGTGAAGAAGGTTCAAGTCGATCTAATATTTTTTGGCACAAATGTCGACCGTATTTCCGTATTCATAACTCAAAATTATTACTCGTAGACAAATTAATTGGTTTGCACTTTGCACTTTAGATAAAATGGAATTAGATTATACTCTTTTGGATTAGATTTAGATAAACATAATTAATTAATGAAAGAATATTAAAGATAATAGGAGTTTGAAGATAATGCTCTTTTTGTATAACTCGCGTTCATTTTAACCTTTTATTTTTATTCTTTGACATGAATATCAACTATAAAAAAGAACGTTTGAGTAGTTTATTTTAATGTGATGAAATTGGAAGAGGTTAGAATACATTGACGTTTTTTTATTTGAAAATGTTAGAAAAACAAGAAAGATTTGAAAAAAATCCAAAGGAAGAAAAATTGAAAGTTATGTGTTGCAAACCGAATGAAGGTCATATTTGGGTTTTTTGGGTTTAAGTTATTGGCAATGAAGATAAAAAATAGCTTCGAATAAATAATGAACCAAATTAAAATGGCACATCATTCAACTTGTTTTGTTTATTTATGAAATTTTGGATAGTAAATGCATCTGCATTAAGAGTTTAACACAAACCATCTCTTTGTTCTTTACATGGATAAGGTTATGTATCTCTTGACACCAGAATGTTGTTGCTGTTTGATTCAAACAATCAAAAAATGAAGATAAAGGCACTGTACAAAAGAATCTTGAAGTAAATTATAGAGGGAAAAAAATGTAGTCTTGAATCTTGAACAGCATTAATTGTACTAATTATAAGTTGAATACTGTGTAATATTTAAAAATGCAGGCAGAAAGATGAGAGGAGCAGAAAGGAGGGCAATGCATTTATGAATGATAATGTGGGAGTGGATCCTACACAAGTTTCTTTTTTTTTTTATGCATGAGGGAGACAAGATAAGGTTACTTGGGTCTCTGCAGGCTTCAGTTACTCCCACCCCCCCCCCCCCAAAAAAAAAGGGACCATGAATCCCACCATTACAAAGCTGCTACCTTTCTTCTTCACCATTATTTTTTTTAACTTTTCCCAGTCTTTCATTGGTTTTTAAATTGGAAGCCAAGTGATTCTGTGTTTTCTGATCCATCCCCATATGTCTCTGCAACTCTTCTTTCTCTTGTTTAATTTCCTGTCCCATTAATTTGATCTTTTCCTTTTTGGGGATTATTTTGTATGCCAATTTGGCTCCTTTAACAACTGNCCCCCCCCCCCCCAAAAAAAAAGGGACCATGAATCCCACCATTACAAAGCTGCTACCTTTCTTCTTCACCATTATTTTTTTTAACTTTTCCCAGTCTTTCATTGGTTTTTAAATTGGAAGCCAAGTGATTCTGTGTTTTCTGATCCATCCCCATATGTCTCTGCAACTCTTCTTTCTCTTGTTTAATTTCCTGTCCCATTAATTTGATCTTTTCCTTTTTGGGGATTATTTTGTATGCCAATTTGGCTCCTTTAACAACTGAATGAAAACAAAAAACTGTAAATATATTGGATTGTTTTGTCACTATAAAAGCCCAACATTTAGCTTTTATATTGGGATGGCAGTTGAATCTTGATTCTCAAGTTGTCATGCATGCAAGAAATCTCAAGCTGGTAGTACTCTACTGCTCCCCGCAATTGTGGGCCCTAACTATTGTACGACGACAATTAGGACCCACAATTGCGGTGTGGAGTGGGAATCCGCCCGTAAAGATTCTATTTTTGGAAGAAAGTCAATTCAAGAAGTTTAATCAGATATCAGAGAGAGAAGATAAATCTCATAAATGACCATTAAAGGAGCCTCATGCTTCCTGTTTCGTGTAATTAGACAAAAAAAAACATATCAACACAGAGCATTCTACTGCGCTTGGTTAAGCTTAGCAACAATCTTGAATTCTTGACACTCATTTCTTTAAGTTAGGAGTCTACAAAAGATACTTTCATTTCTTTACCTGCTCATTCATCAGCAGAACCTTTCTTCAGGACATTGTGTCTGGCCCAAAGTTCTTTGAGTTCATCAACTTTGGATGAGAGATTCATCAGCCTGATACTCATAGCAATCACCTTATCCTCATACATCCCAAACTCAACAACATAGCCTTCATCAGCCTCTTTGGCTTTCTCCTTGAGGACTAAAGACATAGCATTACGTTCCTCCTCTTGCTTCAGACGGATCCTAGCAAGTTCCCTGCACTGCACGAATTCCCGCTTGACTCCCTTCAGAGCATTCCTGTAGCCATTCATGATGTTATTCATCGTGGAAAGCTCGCGCTCAAGGCGGAGAATCACGGCCTCTCTTTTCTGCACTTCTTCAAACTTGGCCCTTTTGAGGCTCGCAATTATAGTGTCGCGCTTGTGGCACTCTAGGGTCAAGGTCTGGCGATGAAGCATCTGTTGCTCCATTCTCAGGTCATGTGCTTCCTTTGCCATCTTGGCATGAGAGAGGAGTTGTTGGATTTCAGTCATGGTGGTCCCAAAATCAAGAGGCTGTTGAACACAATCTGCCCTCAGCCTTTTATTCGTACAATTGTTGTGCTCCTCAGCCCATCTTTTGCTACAGCCAGAACCATGGGGTTCGCCGTTAAATGGAACTTGGGAGGCTTCGAGTTTCAGAAGTGAATTTCCATTGTTCTCCCTCTCATCATATTCTCTCTCTTCTTTCTTCTCTTCAAGATCAATAAATGTCACGCCTTCTTCGCGGGTGGTGGTACCTAACTGTAAAAGGGATTTATCTGATTCCATTCTCTGCTGTAAATTTCCACTCCCACCGGCTAAAGCATAGAATTCATCCTCCCTCTCTTCCTCTTCTCTGCATTCTCCTCCTGGTCCCTCCTTGTATAAAAAACCTCTGCTCTCTTCATTCTTCTCCTCATGATCAAGGAATAACGCACCTTCTTCACCGGTGGTGGACAATAGTAAAACAGGTTCATTCAATTCCATTATTTGGAACAAGTTCCCATCACCATTAGCCAGAACATGAGATTGATCCTTTGTATCTTCCTCTCCTACCAAGTTCTCGTACCCTTCTTGATCATCCAAAATCATCATGCCATCTTTAGCCAGAACATGAGATTCGTCCTTTGTCTCTTCCTCTCCTACCAATCTCTCGTACGCTTCTTTCTTTTCTTCTTGATCATCCAATATCGTCTTGCCTTTTTTACAAGTGCCTGATTGTAAAAGGGATTCATAATTTCTGCCTGAAGGGCACTGTTCTTCCCCTTCGTCTGCATCCATCAGCTTGTCTTTGTTCTCTTCTTGATCATCCAATATCATCATACCTTCTTTACCAGTGGTGCACAATGATAAAACAGGTTCATCCACTTCTATTCTCGGAATCAAATTTTCATCCCCATTGGCCAGAACATAAGACGCATATTTTGTCTCTTCCTCTCCTACCAAGTTCTCGTACACTTCTTTCTTTTCTTCTTGATCCTCTGATATCATCATGCCTCCTTTACCAGTGCCTGGTCGTGAAAAGGATTCATAATTTCTGCCAGAAGGGCACTGTTCCTCCTCTTCTTCTGCATCCACCATCTCGTCTTTGCTCTCTTCTTGATCATCCAATATCATCATGCCTTCTTTACCAGTGGTAAACAATGATAAAACAGTTTCACCAACTTCTATTCTCTCGATCGAATTTTCATCGCCATTGGACAGAACATGGAAGTCATCCTTGTTAACTTCCTCTTCTACTGGGTTCTTGCAATCTTCTCTCATATCATCTTGATCATCCAATATCATCAGGGCTTCTTCATCATTTCTGCCTGAAGGCCACTGTTCCTCTTCTTCCTCTTGTTGATCCTCGGCATCCACCACCTCCTCTTTCTTCTCCAAATTCAACAAACCAACACTCAAGTCGATGTCTGGTCCTCCCAATGCATTCTTATCTTGCTCTTGACCTTCACACTCATCCAACTCCAAATTTTCAGGCTCTTGCGGAATGAAAACCTCGCCACACTGTGATTTAATCAAACACTGCAAATGCACTGCATAATAACAGTCCTCCAGTTCAGCTCCCCGTGTCAACTCCCTTTCCACCATGAACCATAGCAGCCCGGCCCAATCCACCTTCTCGGGATTTCCATCCCTGATCATATTCATACAATTCAACACCTCGCGAGGCATCACCCATGTATCCTCATGCAAGAGCACCCAAATAGAAACAAAGTCCTCAAGAAACTCAATAATCTCCTCCGATAACGTCACATCTCTCAAGCATCTCCTTTTCTTTAATGGCAGACCGAATGTCCTGCCCAAATCGGCCTTGCTCACCCTAATCTTTAATCCATTCACAAAGCTACGCTTCAACTTTGGATCATATGTGTCAACCAACTGTGTGATCAAGTCAGCATTCACCTCCTGGTAAAACTCAGTATTTACAAACTCCCATACCCCAAGACCCTTGAGCAACGTCTCGTGACTAAGAAAATCAAGAATCTTTGAGGGAATAAAAGGTATGAGATGCAGCATTCTCTTTCGGGTACTTACCATCTCATACCCAGCTTGTTCTTCTTTAATGTCACTTTTGCCCTTCTTACGCCTGGAACAGGACTTCATGGGGTGAGAGGGAGAGGTCAAAGAGAGAGCCTTACCGATGGATTGCTGTTCTGGGTTTTCTTCAAGATTGGATTTTGGAATACTTTCAACCATTTCCTCCTCTGGGATCACCTTTTGCGGTCGCTGTGGCTTTTGGGGGTTTGGAGATTCTACTGGGTGAGGACCGGTTTGAGATTGGGAACCGTTCCGGTCGTCTTGAAGCTGATCCTCACCACGCCGGGGACTGCACATTTCTAGGGATTGAAAATTCGAAATGATGAGAGGTAGACGAAGAGAGCAGCGGTCTGTGAACGGTCACTACTTCACCCCAGGCTTTCAATTGAAAAGACTTCTCGTTATGCACTTATGCCCTAGACGAAGTTTGGCAGAAGAACTGTAAATCCTCTGAAATACTCATATGAATCCAACTGTCCCATGTTTTTTAATTGGGCCATGTGTTTATTTTTTTAGCAAAAGATGGGCCATGTGTTAATTGGTTCAAGCAATTTGAAAAAAACAATGAGATGGAGAACAAATTTATTTGTTTAATTGAAGAGAATAAGAAAAAAAGAAGACAAAATAGGTAAACGTAAGTGGGGAGACATTGGTTATTTGAACGTCATTAGATTGAGAATAATATGCACAGTAACTACTGTGTAATATAGTCAATAGCTAAAAGAAGATACTCCCTTCGTCTCATTTTATAACGCCTGTTTCGGTTTACGATGTTTGACTGAAACTATTTTCAAATTATTTTATATGACAAATGGTATAAAGTTAAAAAAATAAAAATTATATATTAAAATACTATATCAAAAGATCTACAAAACTAGTAGTGACAATAGTACTTTATTTTATCAAATTGCTAATGAAAATTTAGAAAGAAAAAATGAATGAAGTTTGACCCTGTGAATAGTGAACAAACATTATAATTTGGGACGGAGGGAGTAAAATAGATTAAGAAAAGAGAAAATAAAATTTCTCCCATTTTTGTAATGAAAAAGAGAGAATGATTTTTTTATTCCAAAATTCTTGAATCAAACATATCCTAATCTCAACTAGTTTTTAAAGAGTAAGATTGCGCGCTCTTCGTCTCATGTGTTCGATTCAAATCAAAATTATTTTTGGATCTGGTTTGAACATTTTTTATTTGAATAAAATCAGAAATTAATATCAATATCAATATTTTTTATATGATTTAAATTGATCTAATCTGGTTTAGAAAAAATTAAAATTAATAATGCAATAATTTAGTAATCCCTTACTAAATTTATTCAAAAATTTTAATGTACAATAATTTAGTAATCCCTTACTAAATAAGACTAATTTTATTCAAAAATTTTAATGTACAAAAATTATTGTCGAGATCAAAATTAATATACACTTGTCTAAAATTAATATTAATTCGAGATTTACACACTGTTTGGATGATGAGAAAAGGAGAGGAAAGAAAATTGAGGATGAGAAAAGAATCGTTTTCACTTGTTTGGTTGGATGAGAAAATGGGTAATAAGAGAAAAAAGTTGTGGATCTCACTTAAAAAGTTTTCTTACCCACCTTAGGGCACTGGAAATACCAGTGAAGTTCCGAAGCTTCAAACCTTCTCTCTCTGCCACGTCAGCTTTAACAAACCTCACAGTTTCAGTGGAAATGGGTTTGAAGCATTGGTGCTTCAAACCTTCATTTTTAATATTTTAAACATACATCTTCTAAAGTTAAATTAATAAAATTTAGTTATTTAATTATTTAAAACAATCGAAATGAAAAATAGCTCATTAAAAAAATATTACATCCATAAAAAATTAAATTCATTAAATAAAAAAATTACATTCATTAAATAAAAATATTACATCCATAAAAAACAACAAAAACAAATTACTAATTATTTGAACGACTGAAGATATGTTCGATCAAATTCGCCGTTAGTGCATTGTGAATCTCTCGGCTTTGAATTTCTTGGTGGTTTCTTCGTTTCTTTTCTTAATCAATTTCTTCGTACATAAGTACCTCATCGCCCAGGTTGTAATGACAAATCGCAAACCTATTATCATCTGAGATCATATTATGAAGAATAATACATGCATACATTATATTTTTAATTTTTTTAAGAAAAACATTTAGACGGACGATCTAGGATGTTCCACTAGCCTTCAACACCCCGAATGCTCGTTCAATATGTTTTCTCACCGCCTCATGAGCTTTTTTGTAGGTTTGGCATTTAAGACTCATTGGTTCGGAGAGGGACTTGACAATCGTGGAATGATCGGGATATATTCCATCGGCCAAATAATATTCACGCTTGTAAAGTGTCCATCTAAACTCAAAAGACGAGTCAAGTGCGGTCTCATTAATCTAATCGTAAAAAACATGTGATTGATCGAGAACGTTAATGTCGTTGTTCGAGCTCGTCACACCGAAAAAAGCGTGCGAAAACTATAATTCATTTGAAGCAACAACTTCGAGCATGATAGTATGCTTGGGATGATCACCCCGGGAGAACTGACCATGCTACGCAGTGGGACAATTTTTCCATTCCCAATGCGTGCAATCAATGCTTCCAAGCATGCCGAAAAAGCCGTGTTTAGCGACATGCCTTGCTTGTAACTGTTAAATGTTGCTCGTTGTAGGCTTACATAAATATCTTTTATGATAATTTTGAATAATAACTTTAGAAAATTTATAAACAGATCACATGATGCTCCGAGCCGACATCTTCAAGTATTCGTCAAACATATCAGATGTCGTCCCGTACACCATCTGACGAAGCGCGACAATGCACTTCTGGACACTGCTAAACTCGCGTCGCCTTCTCGCATCAAAGTGTTGAAGTAGTCGTTGAGAAGTGAAGCGTGGACAACCGCTCAATCCCGGTTTAAACGGTCTCGTCGTGTCCGACGTCAGGAGGATTTTGCTTCTTCTTGTTCGCCTTGTTGCCACCATTGATAACAACTCGTGGCGAAAAAACGAAAAATGAGAGCTCTCTTTTCATAATCAGATGAAGAAGATCATATTTTTAAAATATTTTGTAGAAATAAATATAATAAATAGAAAACTATTTGAAAAATATATTTGATAGAATTATAGAGAGAAGATATAAAGAGATGTGTGAGAGATAAGTTTGTTTTGATTGAATTTATAATTTATTTTTTTGAATTTAAATTTTTTGGGAGGGTTGGGGAAGTGCGCTGCGCAACGTCAAAGCTTTGGCGCAGGGGAACTGACGCACGTTGGGCGTCAAAACCCGGTTGACGCCGGGAAGAAAGCCCCATTTCCAGAAAACACGTACAAAGCTTTATTCTCCTATTAATTTCCTTTTTTCAACTCTTTTCTCACCATTTTCTTATTATTTCCTATCAATTCGATCATTATTATTTTTTCATGAGTAAATTACTGAAATAGGAGCTAAAGGTACTCGTTTTCCGTAAATAGGAGTCCTCCTAAGCTTATTAGTTTTCGGCCAAGGGAATAGTCCAAAATATCCTTTCATTAGTCTTTTAATTATTTAAAAATGGGGACGGCGAATTACGGGGAATCACGAAGAAAAAGGCGCTGTTTTGGTTTCTGATTGGGCGCTAGAGTTACCATGTAGAACTATACTCCTATTGCATGCTGGCCGAGAGTCTTTAGCAGAGTTCAACCAATTTAATTTCCGTTTGAGATACAGTTCACTAATAATTTCTGAGAGAAAACGATGACGACCAGAAGCGCGAGTGCGAGGAGAATGACTACCAGAGCGGCAGTAGATGATGACGACGATTTTGTCGATGAAATCCCAATTATAAAGACTACGAAGTTAATGAAGACAACAGCTGGGCGGGTGAGTCTTTTGTGAGTCATTTTGCTTCAGGTGTCTGTTAATTTGTATGAAATTGACCTAATTTTGGGCAATTTGTTGATGCATGTTTGATGTTTGATGTAATGACTGCGGGTAATTTGTGGTTTTATTATTGGAAGAGCTTGATGCATGTGAGATGTTGGGTGAAGTGTCTTGGGATAATGTCTTTTTAGTGTCCGAGGAAACGCCTGATTAATGACTGTGTTTGTTAAGTGTTTCTGTTTGTGGGAAAATTTAGGTGCTTGTGACCGTGAGTAATGACTTAGTAATGTATGAGTAATCGTCTGATTTATTGACTGAATAATGTCCTGGAGTGGTAGGTGTTACGAATTTGGGAATTGGTTGACGCAGCTGAGGTGTTGTGTGTAATAACCTGGATTAATGACTGAGGAAATGGGTAATTAGTGTCTATATAAATGAATACTTTTGAGTAATTCCTGTTTAAAGTTTGGGAATCGGTAGAATAATGAGAGTTGTTTGTTGTAAAGACCTTGGATTTGAGGCGTGTTAAGCGCTGTTAATACATTACTTGACAACCTAACATTACATGTTAGATTTGTGGTTTTATATTAGACAGCAAATTGATAGTGGGTTGGGTAATATCTGGGTTAAGTGATGGTGGGTAGGGGTCTTGTGCAGAAAATATATATTTTTTGCTCTTGCATGTTAAATACCTATGCTGTGCGTTGGTTGATTTTTTTGTTTTTGTGTGTGTGCATACTGACCTTTTATATAAGTCATTAATCATATTAATGTTTCTCAGAATTTGACATTAATCATATTCATCAGTGGAATGTGTATTTCTTAATCACTTTAGATCTACCCTTTTTGTTTTTTGAGGAAAGGACTGTGACCGTGGGGTGTTATAATGGTTGTTTAATTGTAAGTTGAATACCTAACATTACATTTCAGATTTGGGTGTTTATGCTACACTGGAGATTATAATGACCTTTGCTATGTGAGGGATGTAATTCACTCTTGTGTTTTTGTGTGTGGGTACTGCTGGTTCCTCATATGCAGTAGTTATTCTTGTTAATGGTTAAGAATTTTGGTCATTAATCTTGTAATGTACAGGGTGCAGAAAGGTGTGTATGTTATTGACTGTGGCTTGAGTCATTGGAGTGAGATTATGTGTTGTGGGGTGGTGGCTTCATTGTAGTAGGTGTTTTGATCTATAGAGCATGATATAGGTATTTTAATTTTATAATGAAATATGCCCTGGTCTGGCTTATTGAATGTGTGTTTGTTGGAATAGTGTACATGTTTAGTGGGTCATTAATCACCTTAATGACCTTATCTGCCGTGACGTTTTTTTTGTTTGTATATGGTGTGAGGTATGTTTGACGTAATGTTTTGGTAATGCAACACAGGTATACAAAAGGATGTGCGATGAAGGACTTTTGGTTGGGAAGACTGGAGTGAAAGTTACATGTTTTTGCAATGTATGGGTTGGAGCAAACATTGTGGAGGGAGTGGTCAGTGATACAGATCTGTTAGAATTAAAGAAATCAGCATTTGGTGACTTCTTCAACCTAGGTGGAATTAAGTGGTTGACGGGTCAGTTGATGACTTTGTTGGCACTGAATTATGTGCAACCAATGAAGCGGACCGGAGATATGGACAGGCTAAAGTTTCACATTGGTGACCGAGTAGAGGAGTTCAAGAAATCAGACTTTGCATTGATAACCGGGATGAAGTTTGGGAAAAAAACCGAGTTTGTGGGTATTGACATGGATGAGCCTAATGACATAAGCATGAGGTATTTTGGAGGGAAAATGAGCGTAACACGTCAGGATGTGGAGCATGTGTTCAAGAATGTACGTGGGATTAGAGGTAAGAAGCCTATGGATGTACTGAAATTGGCTCTGCTTTACCTTGTGTGCTGCCATGTCGTAGGGAACCAGGGGAGGACAAGGATCCCAGCACTGTACATGCATTTGGTTAATGACTTGGAGCTGTTTAATGACTTTGAATGGGGAGAGCACCTGTGGAAGGATGTGGTGGAGAGCATGGGCAAGTGTTCTTCGATCCTCAACACGGGGGGTAATGGTCGTTTTACATTTCCCGGATTTTTATTCCCCTTGCAAATTTGGTCGTTTGAAACATTCCCCCGTTTGATGGAGAATGGAATTTGCGCAATTGGGAAGGGCAGTGGATCCTTGTGTCCGAGAGCATTGCGTTGGGAGACTGGGGTGCGGCCTAAACATGATGTGTTGGAGAATTCAATCTTTGGAAAACCAGGGGTAATGTGCCTAAAAGAACTATATTTTATTAATTTCAAGACATTAATTTCTCTTACATGTACCTGAGTTTCTTTTAATGTATATAGGAAAGTGTCAACTGGAAGGAGATGGTTGCAACCCCCATGGAGCGTGGCATGGGAAACTTTGAAAGATTGTTAAGTGTGGGAGGTGCAGGTAATGGTAGCAGTTCAAATGCTTGTGGAGAAGCTGTTAATGAAGAATATGGAGCTGGCCATAGGTCTTTAAAGGGTAAGTTTCATTGGGGGCATGTGACTGCATGTGCTGATGGCGTGCAGAACGAAGACGAAATGCAGGTGAAAGGTCCTGTGGGTAAAAAAACAAACAAGGGTGAAGAGAAGTGAGAAGAAATCAGGAAACGTAGACATGCCTCGAAAGCAGAACCCAACTGTGGTGGAGGATGTATTGGGTGAGGGGAGAGGTGAAAATGAACCTGCATTGCGTGATGTCCTGACCGCCATAGTGCACATGGAGAAGAGAAATAGCAAACTACGAGTGGAAGTGACTAAACTGCGAATAGCACTGAATGCACAAAGCCGGCTACTGAAAAGGGTATTATTAGGTAGAAAAATGGCTAAGCGGCAGCAGAAAAAGAGAGGAGATAAAAGAGAAGAGAATGGAATGCCGAGCTTCGATTTGGGTATAGAGAGTCAAGAGAGGAGAGATGATCCAGGCAATGGGCAGGAGGATATGATTTGGGAGGAGGACATTATTAGGGATGCTGATATAGGAACCCAACTTGGTGTTTCTGATAATGATGTTGAAGATTTGTTGAATGACGTAAACACACAAGAGGTTGATGGGCGATGGAGGAAGGCAGTTGAGGGTTTGGGGCTGAAATTGGATTCAGGCAAGGGTGCAGAGTGTAGTAAGTTAATGAATTTGGCAAATGAAAAGACAACAGATGATGTGCATCGTGATGAAAGGGTAGTGGAAGAGCAAGCGAATGTTGTTCAGCGTATGGATGATGCGGAACTTGTAAGGCCATCCATAAGTAAAGACGTGTGTGCTGGAGGATCTGGAAGTGGGAATGGAACTGTAAGTAAACGTTATGATGTTTTCTAGTAGTTTCTTTATGTGAAGTATATTATGTATTTTTTTTGAATAAAAACCTTGCCTTTGAAGGTTATTGGAGAAGTGGCTGGTGGGTTCCGTGACAAGTTTGAGACTGCTTCTCAAATTATTGAGGTGTGTATTGTGCAAATTGTATATGTTTATGTTCTCGTATCTAAATGTCTGATTTTACACTGCGTGTTTTGAGTGTAGGATCTGCATGATTATCCAGCGTCTCAACTTTTTTTCAGTTTAAACGAGAATTTGGTTGGTGGTGTGGAAATTTCAAAAATTCAGGTGGTTAATGTCTGATTTGCAATTTGGTTGGGGTTTAAGGTAGTTCATAGGTGATGTTATCTTTACATGTCCTGATTTCGTAGTATGTTTTGAATGTTAGGCACAGGAGGTGACGCCGGAGAAAATTTGCTATGAGAATGTAAGGGAGGTGGATGAAGAGATTGTATGCGATGGTGCTGAGGAAGCAGTGGTCATTGAGGAACCATGCACACAGATAGTGGTACGTGCATTGTGTTCTTTCCTAGTGGGTTGAGTGATATGTACTGTAAATACGACTACCTAAGAAATTGTTGTTTGGAGTAGTTTTTTTTGTTTTTGTTATAAGAATTGAAGTTGTATAATGACTGGGTGGTGGAGTAATGTGAGGGGATGGTGGACACTTCATTGTGTGATGAGTGT